CCCTCTCATCTCCCTATAGTAAGACAATCTCTGGAAAAGCCAAGTGCTACTTCCTGTTGTCTTCATCCTAAAACTAGAACGATGTTTCATCACTGTCACTTCACCCTGAGATGAAACTACAATATGCCCATAAATAAGAGTCAGGTCTAATGTCTCAGTAAGATGGATAACTAGCTTGAGCTCACTCATGGACAACTTAATGGGGTATTTGTGGGTTGTGAGTGAGGTTGATTTGTCTTTACCATTGGAGAAATAATGGTGATTTATTTAATGAGATAATACCGAGCCCATTAGAGGAACCTTCACTCTCTGTTTATGATTGCTGATTTCTTTTTCTCACACTCCCAGAGCTCTCAATTACCCTAACAGACAAATACTGTATGTTTATCGGCATTATCTATTGCTAGATTAAAGTAAGTAGATTTTTGGGAATGTTTATAGATGGATTTATACATTAAATTTTTGCATATTTTGAGTGCAATGATGAATCATCTCCAGTAAGAACAGATATGTGTTGATTTATTTGATTTAATGTTGATTTTAAAATTAGGCATAAACACTTGTGATCTTATCAGCCTGAAATGTCTCAATTTGTCAATCATCTGCATCTTTTCCCTCAACTCCAGCTAATTTCTCTTACTGTTAAAGGTCTTTCCTCGCTGCTGAATGGCTTTAATCTCTAGAGCTTTGGACTGTGATTGTCCAGTGGATAGACAGTCCGGACTCCTGTTCTTCTGTCAAGAGCCTTCTTGTTGGAAACACCTCAAGATTTTGACAATATAGTAAATGGTCCTTTAAGAAGACCTCACTTTGAAGACAAATGAGGATAAGGCACTAGCAAGGTAGTTTCACTTGCATTATTGAAATGATGCACTGAATCAAAGGTCAAAGCATTTGTCAAGAGTACTTGAACACTGAGTTCCTGTTTAGGAGCTGTCCTTCACTGCTGGCTTCTGTAAAATTCATTTAAGAGCGTAAAAAGGCCCTTAAAAAGATTCTTAAAGGCCCATGGTGGCATTTTTATTAAAGGGGTCATATGATGTTGCTAAAAAGAATATTATTTTGTGTATTTGGTGTAATGCAATGTGTTTATGCGGTTTAAGGTTAAAAAAACACATTATTTTCCACATACTGTACATTATTGTTGCTCCTCTATGCCCCGCCTTTCTGAAACTCGTCGATTTTTACAAAGCTCATCGGTCTGAAAAGCGAGGTGTGCTCTGACGAACAAAGTAGTTTCGCTTTCACGACGAATCACACAGCGCCTTCACGACATGGCGGCAGCAATAACAATACTACAGCGAGAATAAAAGTCACGCCTTCTTTCGCGTATGATGGAAATGTTACGCCCCTACCATACTGTGATGCTGTGTGTCTCCCGGCACGACGAGGCATTTGTTGCATCTAGTGGGGACATAATTACTGATTATAATGACTTATACTGTCTTTTTACGCGTTGCGTTGCATCGTGCCCCGTGTAAACATAAAACCATGTCTGCATTTGTGATCGGAAAAATGACAAACAACAAGCCCTACTCTACACTGCCCAAAAAACTCGCTTTAAATATATAAAATATAAAAACTCTTTAAATATAAAAAACGTACTTACAGTCTGTGAGTCAGAAGCGCCAGACTGTCCTTGCAAAGTTGGAGCTGCCCCACTTTATAGAAACAGCCTTTTTGTGTAGATGGTATTGTAGCCTACTTTCCCAGGAAACAGCACTGAAACACACAGCGTCTCCCTGACATGCTGCATCAACACTACTGCTGTTCCTGAAACCACGCTTTCTTTCTTTGCGTGCACATTTGGGCGGTGTTATGCAAATCTTCCCACATTGTGATGTAGACATGTGGGGGCGTGTTAGAATGAGCCGTTTTAGGAGGGCGTGGCTGACTCTTAACTTTTATAAAGAATATCTCTTTGGATTTGAGACTTTAGTCTTTGCAACTTTACAGATCTTCTTTATGCACCAAGAGCTTGTAACACTCCAAAGAGAAAGGAAAAATTGAAATCGCATCATATGTCCCCTTTAAATTATGCAACATAAATTACATGCTCTTAAAATCAGCATAAAATCAAAATTGAGTTGCTTAGAACTGAAATTGTTGTGCTACTAATGTCACTAAATAGAATTCCAAATAAATAAATGTTTTTGAAACACTACACCTGTCTTCCATTGTTTGGCCTAATAGATATCCCTGGTTCACACTATGCTACATTATGAAAAAAAGAGGCCTGAAGGTACCTTTATGCTAAGAAATATAGTCGTACACAATGTAATTCAGAGGGCATGTGTATCCAGGTACATGTCCTAATTAAATACTGGATCCGTTTTAAATTAATAGCCAATCAGACTGTGAAGACTGGGTAATCTCATCACGAATGGCAGCTACACAATCTTCATTTAATAAAACCAGAGCAGAGCAACCTGACGGATCACACGGCTTTATTCTCAATAACAAGAGAAGCACTAAGCACCTCCTGTCTGTCCAAACAGAAAAATCCTTTCCAGCCATCCTCGAATGTGCAATCACTTCTCGTCAGCTTTTTTTTTTTTTCAAATGGAACAAGCGTCATAAGAGACTAGGTTTGTTTATATTCCTTAAAAACCCTCAAGTGCTTGTTGAAAGAATATGAGCCTCTGGTATGTACATGTGTATAGATTAAAGTGTCTACTAAGCGATAGCAGACGTAATGTGCTGGGAAAAAATAACGAAAAATGTGTCTGTGTGACATTTCCCTAGAGTATCAAAAGCATTCTTTTTTTTTTTCTTTTTTTTTTAAAGGTCAGAATGAAGAGACAGAGGAGCGCTGTATCACGTTTTGTTTAAATATCTGAGTTTTGTGCTATACATCTCAAACTTTACTGTATTTTAAAAGTAAAGGATTCATTGGCATTGATGGTTCCATGAAGAACCTTTAACAACTATAGAACCTTTTCATTGCACAAAAGGTTCCTTAAAGTGGAAAAAGGTTCTTCAGATTATTAAAATGTTCTTCATACGAAGAAAACAAATGGTTTTTTTAAGAACTGTTTACTGAAAGGTTTTTCAAGGAACAAAAATACTTTTCTATGGTGTGAAACTACCCTTCACTCTTACAAATAAAAGTTCCACAAGGGGGTTTTCTTCTAGATGCAATAGAAGAACCATTTTGGGTTCCCCAAAACAGTGCTTAAAATAACCATTTTTGTTATTGTGAGGATTATTTTAATAATCTGAACATCCTTTTCCCACTTTAAAGAACCTCGTGCGCAATGGAAAGGTTCCATGGATGTTAAAGATTCTTAATGGAACCACAGATGCCGAAAAGAATCTTTATTTTTAAAAGTGTTGTGCAACATACACATATTTTTTTGATACAATTTAAATTCATATATAATTAAACATGAATTTATTGTCTAATCAATTTCACTAGTGAATGATTTCACGACTTTAGCTCCTTACTAATTGACTAAACTGATGAACTCCCTTCACCAGAATGGATGGGCATCTTTAAATAAGACTTTGATTTTGAAGAATTTGATTTATTCATCTATTGTATACTGTAGGCCTATATATTTTAAATAAGCAACTTGAGCTTCCAGCCCAAAAGATAAAGCATCAAGTTCAAAACCCCAAGGCACCGCCTGCAAAAGGTATTTACTCCAGACATGTTGTAAACCATATTCCCCGTTGACTTTGTTGTCATATAGAAAAACAGCCCTTGTGTGCAGTTAGAAAGCAACACCTTTTAAATCTGAACTAAATATTAATGCCACTCTGACATATAAATCAATGGCTGACAGTTTACTACAGCCATATGTGAAAGTGAAAACTGCAAAATCAATACAGCTCATTTTTTTCACCCCAACATGAGCCAGTGGACCTCACTACAGCAGCAGAATCTCGGACTTCAGAACCCAAAGGACACTAGCTCCTCAGACGTGTCAAACCAAATCAGGGTCTGCCAGCGACCCCCTTGTGATGTCACATGGGAGACTGGCTGCAGGTGTATTGACCCTATTCTCGGTCTGGAGGAATGATGTACAGCATGGACACAGAGTTGTCAGTCTTCATTTCTGCCGTACAGTGGACACGTCCAGAGAGTCGCCTTGATACTCGAGTGAAGGAAGTTGCCAGAGCAGTTTAGTACTGACTGATGCTTATTTAACTGAGGAGTAGTATTAAATGAGCAACAACATGGAACATTTATGATTAGATGGGTAGCTGACGTGACATGTTGTGCAGTGACAGAAGTGCCCTGCAGTTTTTCAAACAGCATTTTTCGAATATTTGTAAAAGAATGCCATTTTTGTGGAATTATTCATAGAGAGACTATATGGAATATTTGTGTATATATATATATATATATATATAATATAT